ATTAAATCATGGGCTATTATATTTATATGGTGTGGGCTAACACTCATTTGGAATGGGCTAAGCTTATATGGAAGTCCATGGATGATCCATGGAGATTTTACCCATGGATCCTTGGAAGAGGAAAAGACATGGGTTATTAGGGTTTCACCCTAACCATGTACACTATATAAACAAGCTTATGTTGCATGAAAAAGACACTAATGTGTGTGTAAGTGTGGTGGCCAAAATCAAGAGTTAGTATACTCTCTCATACATTTTCCAAGTTTGTGGTGATTTGTGATTTCCATTTGAGGCATTCACATTATTGGTGCTTGGCTCTCAAACTCCAAGGAATCAACAATCAACAAAAGGTATGTAATTCATCTAGTTCTTTTATGGTTAAAAGTACCCCATGCCATGCTAGATAGGTTATAAACCTTGGAAAATAATCTTTTGCATGTATCTTAGACAAACATAGATCCAAGGTTTAATAGGGTTGCATGTACACTTAGGAAGTGTTAGAATGCTCAAAACCCAACAGTACCCTCAGATGCTCAGGACAAGAACATGTGTAGAAGCATCCCTCAATGTCAGAGATCCATCTCATCACGGCTATCGGATCCTGAGTCCCATCAAACTCTGGTGGCTTCGTGTTGCTGAACTCCCGGTACAACAACGAGTCACCCCCCTGTGGCCTAGCAGCGGCAAAGGCTGCGGTGGCCGCAGCAACAACAGCGTCGGTAAGAGCAGCATACCACTCGTCAAATGTCTCAATCAGCGTGGTCTTGATAGACCCAAACATCTCTGGTATCTCAGCTCGAATAGCTGCTGCCACCTCATCATGAATCATCCTGCGAATCTCATCATCGCTAACACCGCTGCTCTCTGGAGTGTGGCGCGTACCCACCATAATGTCTCTGAAACACAACACAAAAGAAATCAGAGACTCGCTCGAGTATACTCGCACTCGATAACTCAACTCTACTCGTTCTTCGGTACCCTAAGGATTCTTACTTGGACTGCTCACTGATCCGGTGTTTCCAATAGTACGAGCTCTATACTACCTTCCACACCGCATAAGTATTCACCCCAAGTCCTCCTCCTAGGATCCCATATCACAAGTACACTATATCTCGCTGAACACAGGCTACCCTCCAGTAGACCACTCATAAGCTCCTCGCTGCTACCTACTCACCCTCGAAGTAACTCATAGTAGCAGTAATTTCCTAGGCTAAGGCATCACAAATCAGGTCACTCTAGTCCTAGATATGAATACCTAGCCTACTATAGCATGCAAAACATATAACATAATATCTCGTAACACATAAAGTAAGGGTATTTTGGGAAATCATCGTTCGGGCGCTGGCTGATCGTACACACTGCTCCGTTCTGCTTTTCTCAAAAATCTTTTACTCCTTTTAGAAAAATTGTTTCTTTTATGAAAAAATTTCTCAAATCCTCAGTTTGAGTTCCGATACGCCCGAAGGTGCATCCGAATCCCTCAAACCAAGGCTCTGATACCAACTTGAAACGACGTAAATTTTCAAAACAATTTTTCATTTTTCAAACATAACATAACTCATATAAATCATCTCAACTCAAGTGTATCAATATTATCATGGTAAAACACATCCCAGAATCTCAAATACAAATCCTCTGTCAGTGTGTACAAATCATGTCGGCGCCTTCCCGCGATCCTCGCTCGTACCTGAAATACATATCACATAACACGGTAAGCATAAATGCTTAGTGAGTTCCCCAAAATACCACATACAACACACAAGCCACTCGAGGCTATAACTCGGTATCACCCTCCGGTCAATGTGTCTCAGCGGGACCCTCCAGTCCCATAGCTCGTTGGACCCTCCAGTTCGATCTAGCTCGTTGGACCCTCCGGTCCGATTTAAATCGTTGGACCCTCTGGTCCGGTCTAAATCGTTGGACCCTCCGGTCCGGTCTATATAACACATAGCATACATAAATCACAATACACATAAACTCAAGCATACACATAGCACATAAGACCCTCCGGTCTGTATATAGATACCACTCTAGGTAATGTATAGTGAGAAGACTCACCTCGGGTAATCTTGGAAAGTCTCGAACTCGAATAACTGATCTAGTCTCCGCCTAATCACATAAAGTAATTTACCTCTAATTAACAACGATTCTCATAGGCTAGACAAACCCCTTCCTATGATCCCTCAAGAGGGGAAAAGACAATTTTACCCCTCCAATTGTCCAATGTCCAAATGTTGACCAAAACCTAAAAGTCAACTCCAATCAATGGTCCAACTTTGACCAGACTCATCGAGTGCACTCGGGTGACTCGGCGAGTCCATGTGTGTCCTCTGAATCCTCCTAAGGCCTCACTCGACTCGTCGAGTTAACCTTTCCCTCGACGGGTTACCACTGATCACGAATCGTGGTGCAACACAATCCGACTCGTCGAGTCCTCTCATGGACTCGGCGAGTTTCCTACATGAGAATGCTCAAACGACCTTCTGAGGTCAGATCTGTTTCTCTAACTTATAGATCTGACCTTCTAACACCCAAAAGTCATGTAAAGGTCTGAACTTTATGTTCATGCATCGCACTTATGGACCTATTTGATGAAATAACACTTAAAATGGACACCTAGACCCAAGATTCTTATGGGACTGCATAAAGCTGGATGATTGGGACTCTCTGGACCTCTCAAGGTCCAGATCCAATGTCTATTCCTCAATGGGACTTCACATGCTCCAATACTCAATTAAAAAGGAGTAAGGAAACCCTAGATCCATGGAATTTACTATACATACGAGAACAGGCCTGAAATCATACCTCAACAGCAACCCTTGATGAAATGATAGCAGATCTGAGCCCCCTCCAATCCGCCTAGCTTGAATCTTCTTTCCTTCCTTGCAAGAATGCACTAAAATGGTGTAATTAGCTCCCTTCTTCTCTCTCTGTGCTCTCTGGTTCAATAAGGCCTCTCAAGTGTGTGTGTGTGGCCGCCAATGAAGGCCATAAGGACCCTTAAATAGGGCACATGCCCAAAGATTTAGGGTTTCTGTCCACAGCGCGGACTCGACTCGCCGACTCGTCGAGTCCATTCATTAATCCTAGTCAGCAGTCACGATCCTACTCGACGAGTTTAGGCGTTGACTCGTCGAGTCCCTCTCCTTAACTCAAAATAAATACTTAAATTATGATACCTGGAAATCCGGATGTTACATTCATAACATAAGGTAGACATAATTCGTTTGTATGAAAAATGGTATGTGGGATGAGTTTGTAGCTATTGTGTATGCCAACATGAGAGGTGATGTTCCAATTGTGATGTGCTCGGAATAAAGGATATGAAATCTTGAACTTAATGTAAGGTTGGCATGCGATTATTAGTAGGGTTATATAGATTGATTTATGAGGACATGATTGGATTCCACCATGAGTCCACTTATCATTTGATGAGCAAAATTGAAAGTTTTATGTATTTTCAAAAAAGTTAGTACATTTTTTTCTTTACACATAATACCACAACAACATGCAATGTCAATGATATAATCAAAGAATGTCATGTTATCCGAGAATTGGGGTAGATGGTTAACAATAAACAAAATTAGAAACATGATGTTTGATTTGGAAGAAAAAAAACAGAAAGTCAAAATTGGAAAAAAAATATATAAAATATAATGTGTTTTATAATATTCACGTTGTGTTTAATGTTCATATTTGCAAATGATACTTCTAATTGGTATTAATATTTTTTTTTAATATCCTTGCTTATTCTATTCATATGAAAAAATGAGGCTTTACTGAAATAAAAGACTTTATTATAAGACTATGTTTGCGTACTAGTTGAAAAACTAACTGTTAGCTGAAGAGCTAGTTGCTAGCTTATAAGGTAGTTGATAAAAAATGACGTTTGATAAAAACTAGCTGATAAGCGACTGAAAGATATAAAATGACATAAAAGGTAATTGAAAAAAATATGATGTTTATAATTAATTAATGGTATATTTAGAAAAAAAAAGACTTATGAAAACTTAGTCTAAATAGTTTTTAAAAAGCTAGCTTTTGAGCTATTTTTTGACTTGTCAAACATAATATCTTAAAATAACTCAAAAAATAAGTTAGCTTATCAGATAGTAGTATGGCGTGCCAAACATAGCCTAAATATCCAAACCCTCCCTAAGGCTATAGGGAGTCGAGGTGTTAATGGAGGTGCTAAGGATGCTACACCACTCCCTACCTTATGCTAAGGAGGGTGTTAAGAAAGAGTTGTTATAGGTGTAGCGAGATGAGAAAGGAGAGAGAAAATATGAAAGTGTGTTGTGATCGGTTGATTTGTATTTCTTTATATATTTTAATTTTTTTCTTTAAAATTAAACCTATTAAATTGTCACTTCCACTCCCAACTTTTTTTATGCTAGACATGCTAAGTTTGTGGCATAAAAAAAAACTAAGAAATCTTATGTGACAACATGTTAAGAATGTTACCACTCCCTCCAACCTAATAAATAAGAATACAATTGTTATATGTCATTCTTTCATTCAATTTGTCAAATGTCAATTTGTGGTAATTTAGATATATTTATTTTCCATTTGTCATTTACTTTATTTTTCATTTTCCAATTTTCAATATATCATTAATTTATTCTCCATAAATTAAATATACCATAATAAATATATTAATTTCAAATATTAATTTTCAATTTTAATTTCTAATAAATTACCGTTTAAACCTTCATATTTTAACATTTTGTTATAATTAACCTGCTGCATGGATCTGACAACTAAACACGTAATTTTAATTTATTTATTTTTCGTATGTTTATTTTTTAAAATTTTTTTCTCATAATTTTCACTTATTTAAAATTTCAAATACAAATCAACTTCCGGATCGATTTTTATTTAAAATCGGATCCCCTGTTTGATAATGAAAATATCATTTGGTATTTTTAAAATAAAAAATACTACTTCTTGATATCGGCAATAGTTTATAAATATGAAGCTAAAATCGTTAAAATGATGGTTTGGAAATAACCCTAAAAATCAACCCTAACTCCACTGCGGCAAGAAGGGCATCTCTATTCCCTCCGTCTCGTCTCTCGCGCGCCTACAAAACGATCGTAACGGTGATTATTTCGGTGCCCAACTATTAATTTCGATGAATTGAATTGACATAGAATTCTAATTCTGTGAAAGAAGCCCGACGAATTGTAACGATCTTGTTGAAACCCTTGTGGTGGTAGTACTATCAGGATCTAATGGAAGACGATGACGAATTCGGGGATCTGTACACCGATGTACTCCAGCCCCTTCAGATGTCGTCTGCACCTCCTCAACAGCCGATACAATCAATACCGCAGCCGCCTAGCCGTTCGATCGATCTCAACGATAGAATTCCCAGCGATGATGAGGAGATTCTCTATGGCGCTAAGAATTCTGGAAAGTTGAAATGCGATCAACCTAGTCCAAATCTGAATTTGAATAAAAGAGATGGAGCTGCTGAGAAAAATGAAAAGTGTTGGGGGGAGGAGGCTGCGCCGCCGGCGGATTCAGGAGGTAGGGTTTTTGGGGGTAGTAGTGGTTTGGTGAAAGTAGAAGATAAGGGTTTTGATCAAGATCCAAATTTTTTGGATGATGTTAAAGGCGAATTTTCGCAGATTAAGGAGGAGAGGCTGGAGGAAAATTTTGGGATTGAAGATGCCGGGGAGGAGGACGAGTTTTTGATTCCGGGTTTATCATCTTCTGGAGCTAGGGTTTTGGAACGCAGTGGCACAGAAGGGGGCGGTGGCGACGACTGGGATGATAGTGACAGCGAGGATGATTTACAAATTGTGTTGAACGATAACAACGGAGGTGGGATCATGGGAATGGACGTCGGTGGTGGTCAAGATGAAGAAGATGATGAAGACGGAGACAATTTGGTAATTGTTACCGGTAATGCTGATCCAAATCATCATCATCATCCACCAATGGATGATCTCCAAGATTGGGGCGAAGATCCTAGTCAGGCTGCTGATGGGGCGGGAGAAAGAAAAGATTTACTGGGCGGTGATGCTGGGAGACCTGAAGTAGGCGGAGCTACGGCTGCTCAGAAGGTTGGATACGGAAGTCATGGGTATCATCCGTTTCATTCTCAGTTCAAGGTCAGTGATAACTGTAATACATGTAGGGTGATCCTCACATGTAACTTATTGTACCATAGATTTGTATTTAGCTAGAAAAAGATGGTAAATGTACTTCTTTTTGACACATTAGTATCAAGGATTAAATCAGGACTACCACTAAAAGTGGTTTATATTGTTGTACTGACACTTTACATTGATCAATGAAAATACTTTCTTCCTTGATGGAAATTTCTTCATACTTTATGCATTCTAATCTTGTTTATCACCATGCAACTGCAAGTATCTGTAGAGAGTGTCAATTTCTTGATATATTATAATCTTCTGTTCACAAAATTTGTAGTATGTGAGACCTGGCGCTGCACCAATGCCTGGAGCAGGTCCTGTAGCAAGTGGAGGAGTCCCAGGGCAAATTCGTCCACCTGCAAATATGTTACCTTTTGCTGGTCGAGGTAGGGCTGAATGGCGTCCACCTGGCATAAAAAATGCTGCTCCCATGCAGAAAAATTTCCATCCAGGTTATGGGGCCCAAGGTTGGGGAAACAATGGAGGAGCAGGGCGTGGATTTGGCAGTGGACTCGATTTCACACTTCCTTCACATAAGTAAATGACCATATTAACCTTTTAGAATAAACATCACATATAAGTTATAACTAGAGTTATAAGTTTATGCTTCTATACTAAGTTCTACCTTTCTTTTATGTCTTTAGGACTATATTTGAAGTGGACATTGATGGGTTTGAGGAAAAGCCTTGGAGACTTCAAGGTATTGATGTATCCGATTTTTTCAACTTTGGCATGAATGAGGAAAGCTGGAAGGAATATTGCAAACAGCTGGTGGGTATTTGTACTTTTTATTTTTTCTGAAAGCTTTGGTTGCATGAACATATATGGAGCTTAATATGCAATGTATAATTTAAACAATGGTTATATTTTTGTTTGTAGGAACAACATAGGCTGGAGGCTACAATGCAAAGCAAAATTCGTGTCTATGAAAGTGGGAGGACTGAACAGGTATGTGATTCTTCTGTAACATACTAAGATGAAATTTATATAAGTCATGATGATAAAGAAATAATAAAGAAACAATTCTTTCATCTTATTTTATGATTTTTTAGGAGTATGATCCCGATCTTCCACCAGAACTAGCAGCAGCAGCAGGTCATGACATATCTGAAAACCGTAACATGGGAAAAACTGATTTACAAAATGACTTAGCTAAGGGATCTGCACGTGGTCGAATGCAATTGGTATGGATTAATATTTTTTGATTTTTCTTATTAAAGATCCTTAAAGGATCATACTTTAAAATGTCACCTTCATAAAACAAAAATAGAAGTCTATAACTAATTGATATTGTTGGAAACTACAGCCAACTGGAAAAGCAATACAAGTGGAAACTGGTTTTGGAGAAAGACTTCCATCCATTGATACAAGGCCACCACGTGTCCGTGATTCTGATGCCATCATCGAGGCAAGATGTCAAATTTAGTCAAATCTACTTTTCAGTTTCTCAATTTCTCAATATCTGAATCTGAATCTGACTTTGTTTGTAAACAGATTGTGTTGCAGAGATCTCCAGAGCCTGAATCTGTTCCAGAACATGATGATGAGCCTGAAGAAGATGATGTCAGAGAATCCCTTGAGGTTGAAGATGACATTGTATCTGAAAATGATCATTTTGATAATAGACCACAACCACAAGCTTATAACAGTAGGAAACGAGAAGCTTCCGGAAGACCACCTTCCATGGTAGGTGCTGTAGATAAAAGGGTATCCTCACATTACTCAGAAACAGAAGCTGAAGATCATCAAGATTCAAGAGGCAAGAAGGTCAACTCTCCTCCTTCATCTCCTCCTACAAGTTTTGACCAAACCGATGCCATCAAAGATGAGATTGCAGCCGTTGACCGAAAGTCAACGGAAAGAGAAGGAAGAGGTTTAGATACAAACATGAATGATAATAATACCAAAAATAGACGTACAATGAAAAAACAAAAACATTCTTCTGTTGAAAGAGACGATTCAAAAGCTGGAAAAAGCAGTGAAAACAGCAAAGCAAGATCAGATCAAAACATGAGAGATAGTGTGGAGCAAGAAGTCATTCAAGGTGGAGATGATCGAATGGTTAGAAGACAAGATAAGGAAAGACACCAAAGTGATCAGTATTCTCATAGAAAGTGGGACCCGAATACCCATCGGCCACACGTCAAATCTGAAAACTTTGATAGGAAAAAAGTGAGAGAATCTGAAGGAGGAGGGGTATGGCAAGATGAAGATCCACATATTGGAAGAATGAGAATTGAAGATGTAAGGAAACGGAATCATGATGAACACCGGAATAAAGTTCGGGAAAATGATAAAAACGAACACCGGTCAAGAAAAGCATCAGAAAACGGATTAAAAACTCGACATGACATTTCAGACAAAAGAGAAGAAGTTTCACATGTTCATAGAGAAACTACAAGTAGACGCAAAAGAGAGAGAGATGATAATTTAGATCAACATAAAAGAGAAGATGAACCACAACAACAACACCCTTTTAGGTATAAAGAAGAGGGTAATACTAATAATCGGTTGCAAAAACGGGAACGAGACGAGTGGAAAGAAAGAGATGGGCATAGAGGAGGAATCGGAATCGGGCATTCCAGAGTAAAGGAAGATTACAGAAGTTCAGAAAAAGATTATCAGTTCAAAGAACAAAGTAGTAGAAGAGATAGAGGCGTTGAAAATGAAAGTGTTTCCAGACATCGTGGGGGACGTGAAGATCCATATGCACATGGAAATAAAGTTAATAATAATAATAATGAGGAAAGAATAATATCAAGGCATGAAAGAGGGTATACTGGTAAAGACGTGCAAGATAAGAAACAGAAGGAAAGTGTAAGGAAAGGAAAGGAAAGTGATGGCGGAATCCACAATTCCGTTTCCGTTGCTAGTTCGAGACGGAATCGAGAAGATCATAGCAGTCAGAGAAGTGAGCGGGTACGTAAATAAATCACTGGACACCATAGTATAAATCCTACTTTTTTTAGAAAAGAAAAATTAGAAAAAAAAAAAAAACATAAAAAGGACCTTATGTTAATGTTACTTAGCCTCTAATTGGTTGTCTCGGACTGTGGGAAGCCAACAAAAATGTGTCATCCATATTTTTAAGTCATAACTAGTTACAAAATTGCTCTCTTATTATTATTATTATTATTATTTTTTCCCTCCATTAACTTGCATATTTTCTAGATAATCTAGTTTCAGTTTTCGTTATGTATAAACTTTTCTTATAAAAATGAAAGAAATCTAAATTTCCAGAGTGTTTTACTTCTTTGAGCCATTTTGGGCATCAAATCTACATTTCATTTCATATTTTTTTGACATAAGCATTCAATCCTGTCCTATTTCTTTGATGTTTTATTCAACATATTCACTTTCTCCTTTATTAACAAAATTATTGCATCCTTACCTGTTTAAATAGTTAATAGTAGCTTCAGTTGACATTATGTTTGTTTGATGCCACAAAGTAAACATGAGCATAGTGCGTATACACTCAAGGATTTGATTTAACCACCATTTGCTGGATGTGGCTCGTAATTGCTAGTTATTATTAAACTTACCAAACATGTGTGTCGATGTGCTTCAAAGGAGTTGAAGAGGAGAGGGTAAAACCGTAAAAAAAAAAACATACACTATCAACTTAACTATCTTTTGCTCAAACATTATATTTCCATTTGGTTTGATTAGGCGAGGCTTGAGCAAAACCCACCATTGGTGACACGAAGATCTTCAAAAAAACACAACGCCAACAACAACGCCTCATCAGAAGACGAACAACAAGAATCAAGAAAAGGCCGCTCAAAACTCGAAAGATGGACAAGCCACAAAGATCGTGATTTCGGTGTAATAAAAGAACCCGACAACAACAACAACGGGGCCCACACAAAAATTCCCGAAATACCCTCCTCAAAGCCTCCTCCTCCTCAAGAAACCACCATCGATAATTCTTCAAAACCACAAGAAGACAAAGAAATGAGCGAGGATCCAAATAAGCATTTGGACACGGTTGAGAAATTGAAGAAACGAAGCGAGCGGTTTAAGCTCCCGATGCCGAGTGAGAAAGAAGCTTTGGCCATTAAAAAGATGGAAAACGAACCGTGGCCGGGCCCGCCCGAAGCCCGACTCGAGGCCGAGGCCAAACCGGAGCGGCCCGCCCGGAAACGGCGGTGGACAAGTGGCTAAAGTGCTGTTACGGGTTGGTTGGTTGGTTTATGAATGTAACGGAATGTGTAACAATGATGTAGCGGGATTTATGGTTTGTTTTTGTTTTTTTTGTTTTTTGTTATAAAGGTGCGGAAATTGTAACGATATAGTTTGACACAGAACATGTTATATCAAGTGACAGTTATTATAGTTGTTGATCTTGCAACAACTTTATTCCACCACTGCAGTGGCAGGAGATGGTGGTGATCGGTTGCTTTTATAGTTTTACTGTTACACTTGTTGTATATTGAATTGAATTCTTGATCAAGTAAAAGCCTCCGAAATACGTATAGGTTTTACCTTTTTTGTTGCAGGAACATTTAGTTTTAATAGTTTCGATTTGAAGTTATTTGATAGAGAATTTGAATCCATGTGATATTTTTATGGATCTGGTTGTTTTGACTTGAAACTGTTCAGAAACTGGCAGTTGAAAACCACCACTACTTACTAACTTGGATAATAGTGAGTAACGAGGCCTAACTATTAGAAAACAAACATTAACTACCTAGTTGAAAGAAAACTTTCATCCATCGAATTTCAGACAAGGGTTTTCATTTCAAACTAACGTTTTCCATTTTTTATAGTATAAAATGTAATCAAGATGTACATGTTAGAAAGAAAATACCAAATACATCTAGATCTCTTTCATATTTGAATCCAAGTTGCTTTGCTTTAAGAGAGTCCGAAATGTTATGTTATTCCGGGATATGGGCACCATATTTCAGATTTTCTTTAAGTAGGAAAAACTTAAACGAATGGGTACATATTGGATCTTGGGTCTGAAACAACCTGTCAAGGAATGGATGGAAGTGCAAAATGTCGAGTTATTTTGTGAAATCATCAATTTAACAGTTGGTCAAATTTGTGAATATCTTGAAAAAATAATAACAAATCTTGTATATTGATGGTAATATCCATAATTTTATATTATACAAATTTTAAAATTTTTTCGGATATGTACAACTAATACGACCTGAATTAAAAAACTTATCCTTCAAATATATAAGAGTAACTACAAAGGAAAATTGTTTAACAACCTTAACCAATTTTATTTTATTATTATTATTATTATATATTTTTTTTTGAAAGAGAACCTCAACCAATCTTGTTTATTACATCATAAATAAAATTCCTCATGTAAACACTTCAAAATGGAGTGATATTAGGCTCGGAGCGCATAAAATTCAACCTTGGAGTATCTCGTCATTCAAAAAAAGTCATCATTTCCAAAAGTTGATATTCATAGTCAAATACATAAATACTAAAGAAAGAGTATTACATGGAAAAATAAAAAGAATATGCACAAAAATGACCATCAGAAATGACAGCTTTTGTTTTTATAAACAAGTTTGAGACATTTTAAAACATGACCATCATGTATCTATGAAATGAAAAATTTTAGATGAACTTTATGTATCTTTAAAGTACATATACCTAACAAAAATTACATTTTCGGTTGCGGACAACCAATCTCGAACACTTATTCAGAAGAATAATGGCGATGAACTATTGTTCAAGTGGCTCAAGCTCCTAAACTCACACATTTAAACAAATAAATCAACCCTTTCATATATGGGACTATGCCATTCAAGCTAAGTTTTTAGTTTTTTGGATTGATATAACCCATTTAGGCATTACTTTTATTGTCCCTATTTTTCATATAAAGATCAAGATTGAGGGTATTTTGAGTGGTGTGATGAAAAATTACCTAGCAATTGGTACAAAGAGAGTTTACCTAAATGTAGAAGTAGTTGAGTAAGATAAATAAGCATCATCCTAGTGTACTCAATACACAAAGATCAATTAAAGCAACCAAAAATAGTTTGATGAATCTAACTAAGGTTCTAATTGTGTGTGCGAATTTCATGGGGTTTAGTGTTTTGGTTATTTTGATGTTGTTTTAGGCTAATCATGTGAGATAATTACCCTAAGTAGCTGAATGTCATTATAATAGGGTTATAAGGTATTTTTGTCGTTTTGTATCATTATGGTACAAACGAGGAATGGAAACTAAAGAAAATTACATAATAGTGTTCAAAATTCATTGCATAATGTCTTATTAGAAGTACATCAAACATGTTACATAACTCAATGAAGGACTTGGAAAATTTCCAACAAATCGACCTGAGAGTAAACATTAAACTTGTCAACATTCAATAAAGTTCATGAAATTATCAGTCGATATAATTTGCTCTTCTATAGGTGGAGTCAACACACGTGTGTATTCAATTATTTCCCTTAACTTGATGAACTTTTCTCTATCTTTAGATATTTTAACCAAGAGCATTATCATGCGGTAAACTAGTGACTGTCGATGGAGACAATGGGATCTTTATGTTTCACAATAGGTCTCCTGTATGTTTAAAATGAGAAATAAAGTCTAACATAGTATTTTCAACAAGATTGTGTCATCTTATCTTCACATATACCGCTTTAACCTTTAATGTCAGTTGTAATGTAACATCCCAAAAACCACAATAAATTTCAACTTTTCAAAAACAACCCATAACCATAAATGTTTACAAAATCATTGTTTCAAAAATGTGTTATGGTAATCAGAGTATCCCAAAATCCAAACAACATAAAAAACCCAAAGGATGTGCACGATCACGCATTCGCCTTGTCACAGTCATCTGAAGTACCTGAAACAATAAACTGAAACTGTAAGTCAACGCTTAGCGAGTTCCCCCAAAGTACCACCACACAACATATAATATACACAAATTAGCATGCTGGGTCCATAACCTCCCAGTTGGATTGCCCTGCATGCCCCATACTGGGTCCCCAACCACCCGATGGGATTACCTTGCATATCATGTTGTGACATCCCCATTTTCACGTCCAGAAAAGACCGATTTTGTTTATGCTTTATAAAAATCAGAGTACTTCTTTTAATAAAAATCTTGCGGAATTTGTTCCCAGAAAAACATGATAAATACGTTATCAAAGCATTTCCGAAGAAATGTATTTTTATTCATTTTAAAACATTTGGGATGTCATCGTTAATACAGAAACATAAGCATAAACAAAACTTACATTCATTATCACTAGTGATCTATATCTCCTTAATCTCTCAGTGTAATGTGACTTCATATCAACACCTGTGATATAAATAAACTGAGTGGGTCAGGTTGGGAAACCTGGTGAGTACATAGGGTTTTCAACCCACAGTAATATAATTATTATGTTTAATCATCAAACAGTTAACCCAATTACCCATCCCCATTATCTTCTTTACTCTTAAGGGTCTACCCTAAGAATCATCTATTTCTCATTCATTCATTCCTAAGGATTATCCTAAGGAATAGGTACGAAGTCCATCGTTGTCAATGACACAGCTGTCAAGCACAGCTGCTAGTTCTATCACTTAGGCGCAGCTTCCATAATTGTGATATTCTATATGAGGCGCAGCTGCCAGTATTGTCCTTCGAGCACAGCTACTAGGGTTATCTCGTTTATTGACAGTATCGTTTTCGAGAGTCCACTCACAATACATGTCAATGGGTTTTTTTAGAGTACACCGGTGAACACGTCGTTCACAACACCTACAGGTTGCGAGCCTGCCAGTGTTCCACTGGACTGTCTAGAATAGTCTGTGGTTGTCATCCATACTCTGCTAGATGACGGGGCCATCATTTGGGAAAGGCTTCTCACATCGTCCACCTCTCACACTCACCTCGTGGTCTATAACACCTCTCAACTCATCATCCAACTCATATTCCATCTATTACATCTACCCATGTTTTACCCAACATATTCTCGTAGATATATATATACAGTTTAAATCATTTAAAACATGTATAAAATCGTTCATCCAGCATAGATAGCAAGTATACAGATAATATGCACACATAGCACGTAATTTATATAAAATACTTCATATCTATGTGTAAGATGAAAGTAACTATGCACTCACTTGGAAGGTGGTGTCTCTGCACTCGAACAACGCTTCGTTACTTCTTAAAACAATTTCCCTCGACAAAACCTAGTATCAATACCACTAGGGTTTAGTCTAACGTTAACCGCGACTAATTAATAGTCTACCTATTATTATTATTATATAAGCTTTAAATAACACTCAATATAATTCATAATAATAGCCCAAGTACTTATTATAAGGTCCTAATAACATTACTATATCAAAACATAAGCTATACTAAAGATAGGTTAGGCGTAGCTCACTTACAGCGGGTTTTTTTTCTCAAAATCGGGCTTCGCTGGAGCAGCGTTTCCGAGCCGAAAGGCTCTTTTCTCGGGACTTCGGGAGCCTCGGGGCTTCCTTCGGGTGCTAGGGGGTTTACCTAGACTTTAGGGGGCTTAAGGGAGGCTAGAGAGAGAAAGTGAAGTTGGAAGGTGTGAGAAATGAGGGTGCCCCGGCTCCCTTTTTATAGGCTGGAAATGCCAAAAACTCGTCGAGTTGGCCTCCAACTCGTCGAGTTCCAGGCTAGGTGTCACCATCTGGTGGCTAGCCTTGGGGAGGAAGCAATGGCCAGGATTGCGCCACGTCACCCGATTTCGCACAGCAGCCTCCCGACTTAGAAAAATCATAACTCTCGCATACGAGCTCCGTTTTTGACGTTCTTTTTTTCCACACGTAGGTAAAAACAAGATCTACAACTTTCATTTAGACTTTGTCGGCTAAGTCTCGACCGATCTTAAATTTAACAGTAGGAGGAGATTAGACTGTTAAATGACCGCGAAGAATTCGTAACTCCTTCATACGAACTCCGTTTTCGTCTGTCTTTTTACCGTTGAGTTCCTATTAATGAGATCTTCAACTCTCATTTAGGTCGCGTAAGCCAAAAACTGCTCGAACTAAAATTCGAGTTTCGGGTTGTACACTGCTAAGCCGAAACTTTGAAAAATCATAACTTCCTCATACGAAGTCAGATTTGGGCGTTCTTTTTATGGATTTTATCGGTTTAACATATACTACAACTTTGGTTTAGATTACTAAGGCCAAAAAGTCCTCTATCTTAAATTCATTATTTACGTCTCCCGGTGCCGTGCCGGTTTTGCCGAAAAACTTCGACGGGCCATAACTTCTTCGTTATAACTCGGATTTCGGCGTTCTTTATATGTACAGAACCCTTGAGACATATTCTACAAATTGGTTAAGATTATTTATTCTAAATAATCTTTTGTCAAAA